TGCGGGCAGTTGTAGTGGTGCGTGCACGCAACTCGACAGAACGCAAATCTCTTAGGAAGCTTCCTTCGTTTAAGAAGAGACTCATAAAATCACGAAAATGAACGAATGACATCTGCCGGCGAGTGAGTGATGTCAGGACAGTGCCAGCAATTCATTAACATTCATTGAGTTAGCGAAGCATCGTTGCCCTCACGCTGTCACTAACAATTCGTGCAAAACACCCAAAATAATAGGACAAATGAGAAATTTTCACGCAAAAAAAAGGAATTCAAGAAAAAAGGGAGCTGAAGAAGATCGAATAGCACAAACCTCGCATAAAATGAGAAGGATAGTAGGGTTGTGAAGGGAGTGTTCCCATCTGAAACGATGACGACGAAGGCCCTTCAGCAGCAGCAGCAGCGGCAGCAGCAACGGCAGGAGCAGTGCCTGCTGCTGCCGCCGTAGCAAGTGAAGCTATCGCACTGGCCGAAGGAACAGCGGCTGGCGGGCGTTGATACGGAGCATATCTGAAAAATTCTTGTATACCACCAGCTCATGCGAATGAAGAATTCATGACCATCATCATAATTGTCGAGCAAACATCAAAAATCATAGTAGTCAGAAGACAGCACTGTTAGGAGCAGCAGATGGAGAGAGGGAACAACTGGTCGCAAAATCGTGCTAATCTTCTGTGTCTAAAAACTTGTTCAGAAAATGGAAAAATTTTATTTCAGGAAGAAGGGGGGAAGGGGAGGGGGGACACAGAAGTCATGAATCACGAAGTTCAATAAAAATCACAGTTAGCTTATTTCTGAGCAATTTCTGAAAGACAGACCATCGACAGCACTACCTGCGGGTGGTTCCTGTTGGCACTCGCTTTTATTTCAAATACATCTACCTCCCACACAGACAGAACACGATTTCCCAAACTGCTTGTCGTGCTCTTACCGTTTTCTGCTTTTTCCTCACATTTTTGTGACCAGTTCGGGATAATTCCAAGCGGCACCAACTTGCAAATTTGCCAGTAAAAAATCGGCCCCTCCTCTGGGAGTTACTGGCTCGTTTCGATACTAATCTACTACCATATGTCACAGAGTTAAAATCATTCTCAGATCGCTTCATAAGCATTCGACGAGTAATGGCCCCATCAACACCCATGCAAGCTTCTAGATATTGTTAGCAAGGCGCTATCACTCGGGCTATTTCCAACTGCTTTTGCCATTCGAAAAATGAAATATGGCTTTAATTTTCTTCTTTCAGTTTTCTTTCCTTCGTCAAAAATTCGATCCAAAACATCCTTTTAAAATATTTTCCAGTAATCTATGTCATCAAGGAGAGAGCGATGCAGTGAAAAATGCTTGGTGCATCTTGCAAGCACCACGTAACTTGCTGTCAGCTTGCTTATAAGCAACGTTCAAAAAAAGGAGCATCCGGCAGTCCTGCCTACAGCAGCCACTCCCAGGCAGAGCTATCGGATGCTCTTTCTTCCGAGGGATGCTCACAACTGAGTTGAGAGCAGGCTGCGTGGTACTTGGGAGGAAACGACCTCGCAAAAATTTAAAGGGTTCCCGAAAACAGCGGCAAATATACCGAACAGGCGATGGCTACTAACTGGAGGTGTGAAGCTCAGAATCGAAGGACCTGGCAGAGCTGTGCCTGAGATACGGGAACATCCAAGTAATATTAAAACGTGGCAGTCACAATCATTACTCGGGCACTCCTGTTATTTTTTTTTTACCACGGTAACTAATTTCTTTATGTGAAGTGCCACAGACAAAAAAAAAAAAAATACTTGCTTAAGAAATCTGTGATGAACTGCTACAAACTCCATCCAAACCTTGCGCTGCTACTGAGGGACTCTTCTATATAAGTAAAAGGCAATACGGGCCTCAAAGGCCCTGTGGGGGAAAGGAAGAGGGTAGTAACCAGGGTCAGGAACAAAGGCCTATTCAGCGTAGGGTAACGACCGGCAAGGGACGAGAGGTAGGACGGTGGTCGTCCAGAACGTCGATCACGCAAGAAGAAATTATTGCTTCACAGCTCTTCAACTCGTTTGATTCCCCAATCGAGTAGAATTATAGTGCGTCAAAATCAGTACCTGCGGCGTTCCTGAGTTGAGGAGGAGGCATGACGAACACGAGGCAGTGAAGGAGGCGGCATCAGTACAACGCGGCCAGGAACTGTAAAACAATTACTCCGATGAATACGAACAATTCAACAGCACTGCACTGCTCTCTCTTACTTAGATTTGATGTGATGTGATCGCTATTACAAAACACCTGCTGTCAAAAAAAAATGCACTTCTGCTCTCGCACAGCAGTGCCGGAGATACGTGAAAACGCACAAAGGATTGCGGTAAATTTCAGTATAATGGGGCTGAAATACAGATGAGTCTGGTGTTTTTCTGTATGCAGTACATTATGATCAGATTGCACGCTTGGCTGGATACAAGGATGCTGAGGCTGGTCACATTAGTAATTTAGCAGCTAAGATACGAAGATAAGTGGCCTGAGCTATAACTTTTCTGACCTCTACCTCATTAAAATCATCTTTCTGCAGAAAAAGAGGCATAAGTAAGCTATTCTGTAATTTCAATAAAAAGCAAGCAAAAACTTTCACGTTCAACTCGTACAACAAAGAAGCCCAAAGTGAGTAGTTAAACTCCACTATTCTGAGAGCCAATATCGGATTCTTACTTTTGAGCAAATTAAAAACAAAAGCAAACTTTTAAGCAAAACGTCTGGCGTTAGGATGGTGTGGATTGAATAGCTAGGCAGATGACTACATAAACACTTAACTATAGCAGTAGAAGGATGATTTATGCACAAGGTTGACCGCTTAAGAGGCATTTTATCCATCAACCCATTAGTTACACCACCACACTTTCCGAATATCCCTACAGTCACCGAGAATGTGAGCAGCACTTAAGAAAGTCCAGACAAAATAACGCAGCCTACCGGAGAATCAGTTCTCGAAGCACCGTTCTAAGCATAGTACGTGTAAGCACAGAAACAAACAAGGGCAAATTTTCGACCACCTACGATTACGCATTTGTAAAAATATAAAAAAAAAAAAGCATAAAAAGAGAGGAACCTTGAGAATGTGGCTGTGACGTAGAAGGACCTGCAACAACATGTGGTGCAGGTGCGGCAGCTGCAGCGGTAGCGGAGGGGAGTGGATGAGAAGTGGCAGCAGCAGCAAGTACTGAAGGCGGCTGTCGCTGAGCTGCACGTGAAAGTAGTCGCTGAGAAGTTGGCTGCAAAAATTCAACCCGTGATGGTCGCGCTGCTTCCGGCGCACTTGGCGATGGCAGTGGCTGGGTGACAACGGCGGCGGCGGCAGCTGGACGTGACGGAGCAGGGGCAGTTGTTGGCGTGGGAAGTGCCGGAGGAGCGGGTGGCGGCGGCAGCACTCCGACTGCTGCCAGAGCGGCATGCATCTGGGCCATCAGCGGAGTGGTACCTTGCAGTGGTGAGGAGGGCAGTAAGTGTGAGGCAGCTGCAGCAGCACCAACAAGCTGTTGCTGCTGTTGTTGCAAGTGCAGCAAGTACCGTTGCAGATTTGATTGTTCAGGAGACAGCGCCGATGCTGACGGAGCAGGCGGCGGCGGCGGTGGCGGTGGCACAACGCGTGACCCTGAAAAAGCACTGACGAACAAAAATACGCTTCCCATGATAAATGTAAAAAATCGTATCAATACTCGGGAATGATCTCTGGTGCCCGTGTGCCCGACGTGTAAGCGCATCCTAGTTAAATTCCCGTTGACCAAAGTCCGACAGAACTCGAAGATGCTGGGAAAATAAATTCAGCATGCTGAATACAGTCAGAGTAAAATTAGCGATTATTTAAAAAAATAATAAAAAAATTATTCTCCTAGGCACAAACGGCATGTCAAATGAATGAAGACTTTCAGTTGACTCTTATCCGCAAAATGTTACATTCAAATAGCTAAAAATGTTCCAAACTTATGAAATGTTATCACTCGCCATACTAGCTAAGAGTGGTACTCTCGAGAGAGTATACGAAACTCGGGAAGCCTCCGAAAAGATAGCACACAATCATTGAACAGATGGCAAGTACTAACTGAAAGTACGCAGCCCAAAACTAAAAGAGTTATATCCGGCGGAGAGGGCCAACCTAGTAATATTACTTATAGGGCAAGCTGACAGGAGTATGATATTCTAACAGGAGTATGGTATGCTAACATGCTTTGCAACATGTCACAACGTAAAGACTCATTACCTCTACAATAGCTTGCCGGTTGCCATGGCAAATTATCGCACTGATAAAAAATATTTCACATTACAGACTGCAGTACTAGTCGAGGCTAGCTTGCATTTACGAAACCTCAGAGGAGGAAGCTGTCGACAGCCTTGTCAGCAAATAGCTGCTATTGGCATATGCTACAGTTTTAGGCACTGCTGATTATGCCTCTCCCCCCTCTCTCCCCCTCCCCCCTCAAAGAGAATAAATATGGAGGTGAAGTGAGGGAGAAAGCATGGTTTTTGACCAAATACATTTCCCCCTACAATAAACAGCAGTACTTTCCATTACTACAATACACAAGTGTGTACATGGCAAAATCTAAATCGAATGAAAAAATACTTACCAATCTGTGATGGACGGCCACCAGAAGCAGCAGCTAATGATGCAGCCGCAGCTGCAGCAACTTGCTGCTGCTGCGCAGCGGCAGCTAAAATAACTTGGTACTGCGCCAGGAGAGCTGGATTCATTGCGCCGAGCATTTGAATGGGCGTCTGAGTAGCCGGGCCAGGGCCAGGGCCGGAACCCGGGCTGAGGCCAATACCCGCTAACAGTGAGGCACTGGGTGTGGCAGGGGAAGGCAAAGAGGGAAGTGCTGCACACACGGTCATTTCTGTTCCGGATGGCGGTGGCTGCGGTTGTGGCGGTGCCGGCTGTTGCTGCTGGCTCGTTGGTGCTTGAGTGAAGCGTAACCCTGCGGCAGCGACCTGTGCCGAATGCAGCTGCTGCAATATTTAGGTTATATTTCGAAGACAACTGCACCATCTAACCGCTTTATAGTGCAAAATAAATGGGCAAGGAACATCTTCGTAAAGTTTCAGTTTTCTGACTTGCCTGTCTTCTCGAAATCGTTTTCCGGCCAGAACATCTTCCACGTATGCGCACGTAAAAACTGGGAGAAAGTGAATGCTTATTTTACGCTCAAAAATCCATCTAAGTTACTAAAACTTCAGTTTGATAGGCTTCATAGGTCTACGGATCGAAATATGCGGATCATACACATATATATACACACATACAGAAAACTTCTCTGTAGTAAGCATTTTTTTCATTGCAAAGATGCAAAAAAAGCATAGAAATTACAAGTCCAACTTCTTTCCCTATTTTTCTAGTTGCTTTGCAAGGTGATTTGAAAGTGTATGTGCAAAGATGAATAACTTCGACAAAATCAGGACTAAGATTGGCACTGGAATGGAGTTATTTTTGACAAAAATCTCCTCCTTAACATTCCACCCTCTTCAAGACGGAAAGACACTCCAAAAGGTTCCAGTTTGTGGACAGCAAACACCAGCTAGCTAGACTTTTGAAGTTTATGAAACCAAAATGATAATGGCGGTTCCGATTCGTTCATGCCAATATCCCGCCGAAGCAGATTTTTTTTACGAATCAGATTTCTGAAAAAAAAAGCCCAGCACTTCTGGTACAGGGAAAGCAGTTGAAATCAAACCTGTATATCAAACTGTGTTGGCCAACCGGCAAGTTGCTGTACAGTGGCTGAATGTAGTGGACTGAAGGTTGGCGCTGTTGGTTCCCTTAATGCAGCAGTTGCTCGCTGAACACCGGCTCCAAGCGAAAGCGCCTGCGATGGAGAAACAACGCTTGGCTGTAAAACCAGAGAACACATTACTCAAAAAAACTCAACCAGCTCGGCGGATTCACAACAGCAAACACCAATTAGTGGTTTATCAGTTCCACGACAGGGAGGGATGGCCGTATTTGAAATTAATCATTTCCACCGTCCAAATAGTATCTATATATCAGCAGAGGTACTGCGATATGACGAACCCTGATCAAAGTAAAGAAAGCGGTGAAACGAAGAACGATTCACAGTTGTGACAATTTGCCTTGAAATTGATGAAAGGCCTAGCTCAAGATCAACTTGTGATAATCTGATGAAAGGCCTACTTCAAGACCAATCAATTTACATTTCAACTATCTCACTGAGTGGGTAAAAAACAGAGTCTGGTGTTCCACCTCCTCCCCCAGATCGTCAGTTTTTAACAGAATAACGACTTCAAACATTTGAAGCTTTGACAATCTCCTGCGATTTCAAAAAAGAAAAAAGGCTGGGGAAGACGGAAACTTCGTCAAAAGTAGTTAAACAAAAATCTAATATATCAAAGTTTTCCAAACAATATTTGAAGAAGCTTTATTCCCGAGGAAGAAAAGTGCGGCTGACGACAAGTGAATGTCAGAATCACCATCATGAACGGCCGAAACAACTTCACGAGTCGTATATGTATGCACATAAATGTGGGGGCTTTCAATGCCAGAACACTCAGCAGTGACCTTTTGTCGTTGGAATCTTCAAAGATTCGCCCTAATAAAATCAAACGCAAAAGAGGAGCAGCAAAACGGAAAATGTACAGGCGATGTTGAGAACACTCGACAGAACGGTCACAGGTATCCGAAGTGCTGTGAGACTGCAGATGAAAGGCAGAATCAACGTTTTTTGTACAAACTAATATCAAACGTGCTTGGGATGCTCGCTATCGACATCAAATGGGCGTGTGAAATGCCGCGAAATTCATTATGAATTTCGCGGCATTTCACACGCCCATTTCACAACTGCGGTTCAGGTCCGAGTTGCTAACAATTTTTGGGTTGAGGAGCTGCTTGAGACTGTGGTTGGAGAGCAAGAGAGCTTCTACAGTGGACGTTTCTACTGAGGGTAACATGCATGATGATCCTTGAAGATTTCGGTGCCAAAGTTGAAAGTGTGAATCGATCGAAAGAATTTATCGGACTTTCTGGGCTAGGAACAAGAGGATCTCATCGACTGCTCAAAGCTATGCACAATGATAAATTTGTTTTCCAAAAAAGTCTTCGAACGCGCTGGACTTGGCAAACATCAAATAAAGCGACCCAAAATGAAACTGACAATATTCTCAGAGACAAGCAAAGATTCGTTACAAAAGTTTCCGTCATTCCGAAATGTTTTCGTACACTCTGATTGACTACCAGAATTAGAATTGATTTCCAAGTTGAAGAATCGATTTAAAAGCTAGTCAAAGCAGTTTGCTCTTGACTTCTTTCTGCAGACCACACTATAAATGATATTAGCACAGACTATAGTCTTTCTTCACACCCTTAAAATTTTAGCTTTTCAGCTTCTCTGGTTCCCGAGTTAGCAACTTACCCGCCAAAAATTTTCACGGGCTCGTACTTATGTACCAAGCCCACATGGAAGCAAGATTTGAACTCATTAAATCTTATGTGGAGCGCAAAAGTCTTGTCACAGCGAACTTGATCAGAAGACTGAAATTTGTCCAGGCCAAGAATTCCTTGCAATATTTTAACGAAAACGAAAAATGGCGGCACAAAACTAGTAGTGAAGCATTCCGTATTCAAATTATAGGCTCTTTCCTAAGTACTACTAAAAGAAATTAGCAAAGGAAGGGTATGGAATTTCACAGTATGCTGTTTCCCACCGCTAAATCAAGGGCTCTCCGGGAAATGCCCCGGGTGTGGTACTCATCGGGCATAAAAAAGACGCACCTGACTGCTCGGGCCAGCTTCCTCCACTTGTGAAAAAATAGCTGCGGTAACAGCGGGTTGCTGTTGCGGTTGCTGCTGCTGCTGTTGTTGCTGCTGCTGTTGCTGTGGGTGTTGCGCAGGGGCACGGATGGAGGAAGGGCGAATGGCGCCGGCGCCTTCCGCTGGTGCTTTCTTCGACTGCCGAGAACCCCCTGGCGCACCATTCATAGAAATTGCATAGAAACGTTACACAACTGCTGTTCTGCGCGCCCCCAAAACAAAGTGCGTGTTCGCTCTTTCTCGCTCTCTTGCACCAGTTGCCTTCTTCTCAACAGCAATTCTCCTCACAGCAAGCCTGCAATACATATTCAGTTTCACCGCTACTGTGTTACAAGACAACGATTTCCAGCTGCGCGTAGCAATTCTCGCATATTCGATCAAAAAACCCAAATACTTTTCATAAGATACATAAGATTAACATAAGACACACAAGATTTTTCTTGAAATTTTCATAGACACCAAAGCATTTCATCGTGATCTGCGAACGCTAACGATAACACACACACCAAGGAAAACTCGAAACGGATGAAGTGTTTCTGTTGGAAGAATACCGAACAGATAAACCCCATCCGCAGACAAAATGAACGTCAAAAAAGCCAGTAGTCTGATCACCAGACGATGCAACATGCAAAAACGTTAACAGATACACAGATTGAAAAAAACACTACGAATTAATGCTGATTCAATTATCTTAAGTAAAGACATTGTAAAAAAAAAAAAATTAGTTTTGATATCTCAAAACACACCAGGTACGATGGGTAGCCGAAACCGGTGGCACATCACTCCAGGGAACCGGGAAGGGGAGATATTCCTGCCGCACTGTAAAAGAAAAAAATTGGTTTTGATATTTCAAAACACATCAGGTACGATGGGTAGCCGAAATCGGTGGCACATCATCTAGGAGACCGGAAAGAGAGAAAATACTCCTGCCCAGCATCTAGAAATGGGTGCAGAAACCATCAGACAGAGAGGGCAAATGTGGAAAATCGAATCACACGAGAAAAAGCAGAGGTAAATTCGAGATTAATGACAGAATAAGGAAGAAAGAGCGGATCCACCAGTCCTTCCCTGCAGCCGCGAGGAGGTAAAATCCTCCACCAGAAGACAAGTATGCCGGTGAATAACAATAAAATGCACAAAACTAGATGAAAGCAGAAATATTAGCACAGTTAACACATCAAAATGAGTGAAAAGTTGAGAGTTAAAAACGAGATTCCGAGCCAAACCGTAATATTTCTCTACGGGACGTGACAAGGGAAGGCAGTGAAACAAACACCAGAATCACCGGTGGTAGCAAATTGACCATCACGTGATGCAGCGTCGCCAAATAGATCGATGCCATAATAGTACATATCTAGTAAAAGTACCAGATGATTCTCAAGCACTGAGAGCATACCTGGAATGTCCTAATTAATTCATAGTCTGCTGCTGGTGCTGCTTTTCTACGCATCTGGCTCTGGCTTTTCCAATTGCTGCTGCTTCTCTGACCGATGCTGCATCTCCTGGTGGTCAGCTTACGGCGGCTGCTACTGCTGGTGATCCTGGCGTTCGTTTCGCGCGTCCTGAAAACACTAACCAACTCAAGGAGTCCGATGATCAAGAACCAACAATCACGAGAACCGATTGACTGAGTACCAGCGAACCGCCAAGTATTTGATACCTAGTTGAGAAGTACCAATCGTTTCGCGCCTTCAGCGATAATAAAGTCATCGCTGTTCCACGTTAATTGGCCTTTACCGTTCGCTCAATTCATGCCTGGTGCTTGACCAACTTCACTATAGGCATATAACTATTCAAAACATGGCGGGTAGGAGGCTGTACTGATGATTCCCATTCCTACCCAAATGCACTGTTCGGTCTGTATATACAGCTAAGGGATGAAACACAGAGAGACTGCGTCATAAAATGTCTTCATGGACACATGACATTCAAGTGAAATCCTTCTATTCTTCTATTTCACTATTTCATGGGAAGCAAAGCGTACAAAACAAAATGAGTTGACCGTATTTGATGGAAATAAAACGTCATCATTCCTTGAACCTTCTTGGAACTGTTAAAACTCGGCTCGGCTCGGCCGACTGAGAAGCCAGTAGCAGTAGTTGGGAAGGATGGTAGGGAGGGGAATAAGAAGTTGAGATAATTGGCCCAAAGGGAGCCGTACAAAGACGGAGAGGACGAGGATATCGACTGGGAAGGCCATCCCTGCGAAGGTAGAGACTGGAAACAGGAGCCGAGTTAAGAGAGGTCCATACTAGGTTCTTTATGCTCAACATGAAACATGGGGCTGAATTCAAATTAGCAATCCTGACGCAACACGTAGGACCTCATCAAAACAGAAAAAAACCCTCCACAACGATTTTCGCATCTCAAATCCGAACCCAAAAATGAAAGACGGCGCGGCCTGGGCCGAGTTTTAGTAACTGTCCCAGGAATTGCGAACCTCTTTCGCTTCAAGGTGGCAGCTGGGCTGTTTGCTCCCCAAGAATTTCGGTGGGGAAGCTTGGGAATATCGGGGGAGGGGATCTGACAATCTTTTGATCTGTAGTATTTGAATCAATGTGTGCTGTTCCTGGGGTGGCCGGGCCCCTTCACCGGGCTGATTTCGATAGTATGCTCTTTTAGTTGCGGCGCGCAAACAAACAACTGGATTGGTGGCACGAATTGGAAGCACTCGTGAATTCAACAACCGAGCATTTACATGGAATTATGTGAATGGGCGAAGATCAAATGTGTGAATGGAAACGATTAAAAAATAGCAAAAAAAGGTACACGATTGCTGCTAAAATTATTTTTGCAGAAAATAATTTTTGCAGAAACAGTTTGCAGAAAAATATTTATTGCTTTTTTACTTACATATATTTAAATCAAAAAAAATTTTTTTTTTCTTATAAAAGATGCTCCGTATTTTATTTTCATATATTTGAAACAAAAAAAAGAAATTTTTTTTTATAAAATCTGTTTCAAGATCAATAATAAGCAAGTCTCTCTAGTTACTGGGGATAAAGTCGATCCGTTACCTCATTGGTTTTCGCAGTTTCTAGTATTTGAGAAATTAGCTCCTTATGAAAATCTACTTTACATTACCTCCTATACACGTATCAGCGTCAAAACCGTCGTATTGACGAGGTGCAATTATACTACTGAATGGGGCTTGATGGACCGAAACATTTCTATTAATCTATTTTCTAATATACTTTCATATTTTATTTAAATATCATTATTAATGTCTTTTTTTTCTTATAAAAATGCTCCAGTATCAATAATACGCAGGCCTCTTTTGTTACTATGAATCCTCGCTGAGGGGAGAGGTGAAGAGGCATCGGCAGAAAAATGGCAGTACGATTTTTCAAAAAATAGCCTTTTTAGTTGACAAAATATCCCATCATGTTCTAGGAGCGACACCGTTCGGAACCAGTTGCTGAAGCTTAACACATAGTTATGACATCTCGAAATAGCTAAAGCCTTGCCGACTGATTTTTTTTAAGAAGAACAGTAAGTCAAAAATCTCGTCAGGAGACAAGGTGAACATCAAAATCGCAAGCATTGGTCAAAGCAACCGGAAGAGTTGACAGCTGCGTAGTTCGAGAACGGCACATTGTAAGAATATCAAAATATCGGACATATTAGACATGATGATGAACAATCGTGGTACAGCATATGTTTCATCCCTTAGCTGTAAACACAGAGAGAGATCAGGTGCCGGCAACAGGCATTCATTGGATGTATTTGTTTTTGCTCAGATTTGCAGTCCTTGAGCAGATGTATTTTTTGTGATTCAAATAATTTCTGAAGTCAAAGAAGAAGTTTATGACTTAAGGGCACAGCAAGTTTTCGGTATGTTATGCCTGATCAAACTATGCTGTAAATGAGAAGATATGCGGCATCACACGCAACTGAATACGGAGGCTTCTCGCCAGGGACAATTCGGTTCTTTTTCACGTTCTTGGTTCACCCTGTCCTGTTCAAATTTTTTTCCTTTTCATGCCTTTTGTGCTGTGTAACAGCAGGACAAAACGCATACTGTCACGGGGTTGTTTGTCCCACATTTTGTCCTGCACTTTCAACTCGGGAACCTCAAGAGCTAGGCAGCTGAAATTTTAGTATAGTGTTCCTCGCCAAAGTGTGACGCGGAAATTTAAATTCAGCCTTCCCGTACCCGCGGGTAACACGTACGGCCTCGTAAAAGTTTTGGCGGGTAAAATCAGTATCTCGGGAACCACGGAAACTAGGAAGCTGAAATTTTACGGGTGTGTCCCTTAACCACGTGCGATCCAGAAAACTCAAATTCAACCTTCATGTACTCGCGGGTATCACCTACCTCCCTATGAAACTTTTGGCGGGTAAATTATTATTCTGGAAACCACGGAAGCTAGGAAGCCGAAATTTTATGGGTATGTCCATTGACCAAGTGCGACCCAGAAAGCTCAACTTTAACCTTTCTGTCCACGTACGGCCTCGTAAAAGTTTTGGCGGGTAAAATCATTGCCTTAGGAGCTGCGGAGGCCAGGGAGCTGAAGTTTTATGGGTATGCCCCTTGACCACGTGCAACCCAGAAAATTTAAATTCCGTTTTCCCGTGCGCTTGGGTGTCGCTTACGGCCCCGTGAAAGTTTTGATGGAAACTTATTTTGGGAACCATGAAAGCTAGGGAGCTGAAATTTCAGGACGATATTTTCTGCCGCTGCAGGTATCTTAAAAACTCTAGATTTAGCTCCCAGGTATGCAGAGGTCTTACGTAAGACCACCTGAGAATTTTGATGTGAAAGTTACTAGCTCCGAAGCAGAAAAACTAGAAGGTTGAAATTTGGAAGGATGTTACCCATCCACGTTTTCAAATTCAGCTTTCACATACCGGCACATGAAATTTTCAGTGGGAAATTCCTCACTTAAGGAGCCAGACAGCATATGTACTATTTTTTCACATATGAGAGTTTAAAACAGTTATATTTTTAGTAAGCAAACGTCCGCTGAATGGAACTGCGCAAAACGCATGATCGCACCGGCTACCCTGGTGCGTTTCGCTATTTATCTATTTCTGTTTAGGTAAATTCTGAAGAAGATGAAGGAACCGCTGTTGCTGCTACGCTGAGGACTTCCCTCACTCAAAGTGTATCGTATCGAAGCGCATTCGGCACGAACGTCCCTCAATGGTTTGTCAGAAAGAGTGAT